CTACACGCGTATGGCCTCGACCACGGCCAGCATCTCCTTCACGTACGCGGACAACCACAAGCGCGCCGGCCCGAGTGCCTTGCTGAGATAGGCCAAGGGTCGACCTTCCTGCACTAGAACTTCCCCGATTCCAATGTCGCTCGCATCCGAGTGAATCTCGAACAATACATCAAACCTTGGCATCGCGAGAACGGGCGTGGTCGTCATAGCCTCTTTCAGCTCCTCGAAAGCCTTCTCGCTCGCCTCCGTCCACTTGAATGCTCCCGTCTTCGTCATCTCCGTAAGTGGCTTCGCGATGGTCCCATAGTCCTTTACGAATTTCCGATAATAGCCCGTGAGACCAAGAAACCCTCGCAACTGCGTCAAGCTCGTAGGTTTCGGCCAACCCACCATCGCCTCAATCTTCCTTGGATCCACCTTGACACCATCATGAGAAATAAAGTGCCCAAGGTACTCGACCACCTCTTGAGAAAACGAACACTTGGACGGCTTGATGTAGAACGAGTTAGCCTCCAAGATCCCCAAAACAGTCTGTAAGTGCCCAAGATGATCCCCCCAAGTCCTCGAATACACCAAGATGTCATCAAAGAACACCAACACAAATTTGCGAAGGTACTCCTTGAAGATGGAATTCATCGCAAATTGAAATGTCGACGGTGCATTGCACAAACCAAAAGGCATCACGAGATATTCGTAGTGCCCTTGGTGCGTGCGAAAAGCCGTTTTGGGCACATCCGCCTTGTCCAACCAGATCTGATGGTAGCCCGCACGCAAGTCGAGCTTGGAGAAGTAGCGCGCGCCACCCAACTCGTCCAGCATGTCGTCGACGCTCGGAATAGGAAAGCGATCCTTCACGGTAGCTGCATTGAGAGTGCGGTAGTCTGTGCAGAACAGCCACGTGCCGTCCTTCTTCTTTGCGAGCAGCACCGGTGATGAGAACAGGCTCGTTCTACGCTGGATGAGCCCGGACTCGAGCATCTCGCCCACTTGCCGCTCGATCTCTGACTTCTGAAAGTGCGCGTACCTATAGGGATGCACGTGCACTGCTCGACCCTCCTCGACCAAAGGTATGCGGTGGTCGAACTCCCGGTGCGGCGGCAATCCCTTGGGCTCGTCGAGGACCTGGTCGAACTTCTCGAGCAAGTCACGCACCTCGCGCTGCCTCTCCTCGACCACTTGGTCGAACTCCTCGAGCAAGTCACGCACCATGAGTTGCTTCTCCTCGACCACTTGGTCGAACTCCTCGACCATCTCCGCGTCCTTGCCTGTCTGCTCGACCACGACAGCGTACAACTGTCCGGCACCTCGCCACACCTTCTCGATGCTTTTTAGACCAACCTCCTTGGTTGCCCCTTCACTAGCCTTCAAA